GCGGTCCGCTCTTCTTCTCTCCACATGCTCTCAAGGAAAGCGCTCTTCTTCTGCGAGAAACATTGAATGGTACGGTAATGTCGGACTGTATTTTTATAGTTCTGGAGAAATTGGAGAGAGATGATAATTGATATTTCCCCGCGCAAGGATTGGTTGTGCTCATAGCTTCGTAATTTGGACTACAATGTTGTGTGCTCGGAAGAAGAGTCACAGAGAAGCTCAGAAGCCTATCTAGTGGATTGTGTTGCTTTTGTGTGTGGCCGAAAATTGAAATCTAGGTAGCAGAGAGTTGATGGATTCAGTAAAGCCCATTGATCTGCCCACAGCCCACGATGGGTTGGGCAGGCCCATTACAGTCAGTGAGTGAAAATGGAACATTTGACTGATGGGCAACTTATAAAAATACCCTTAAAATTAGGGATCTTTTAGAAAATCATATAAATCATATTTGGGAAGTAAAAAATAATGTGTAAAATTAATTGTCATTTTTTAATAGAAAAAGTGACAATCAATAAAAAGTGGCACTGAAAAAGTGACCAACTGTCACTTTTTAAAGTTTTTTTAAAGTTAAGTCACTTTTTTAATTAAAAAATGACATACAATGTCACCTTAATTAAAAAATGATATTTGTCACTCGAAAAAGTGATAGAAATTTCGAAGAATTGAAAAAAAAAAAAATAACAAACATTAACAAAGTGATAAAAATTTAATAAAAAATGACAAATATTAAAAAAAATTGACAAATTCAAAAAAGTGACGAATACTAAAAAAAGTGACAAGTTGTCAATTTTCACGTTGGTGTAACACAATTGAGTTATTATTTGTCCGATCGAAGCATAGCAGAATACCTTGTACAATATGGTTATTAATATACACAACCCACCTTGACAAAGGTATGCCTTCTTTCTTTAGTATTCATTTTGAGCGGTGAATGCTCTCACAAGTCAATGAGTTGTATGAGTTGAATCCTTAAATTGAATGAATACTTTAATTACTACGTTATGCTATGTGTTTAAATGTCAAGTTCTTCAAAGTAGTACTTTTGGGTTGCATAAATTGTAACATATTAATCAAAACAGTCAAGGAAGCAAGTTCAATCCTTATTTTATGATTAATAAAAATTATTGGACAAATGAATTGTATACTTTTCCAGGTTAGAAGTATCTAACATGAATATATAAAAAGAGTTAGGACAGAGATATGAGTATCACTAATTTGTTAATCAGAAGGCAACTTTCTGAAAAATTATGATGCCATGTCTAGAAATTCTATGTAAAATACAATACACAATTCATGTTTTGGCATGTTACTGACACCATTATGTCATCACCATTTATTACTATGAAACATTTAAAATGGTAAATTCCAATTGAGACATTTTGTCAAACACTTTGATAGTATCTTAGAAAATCAAAGGGAAAGAGTTTACCATAGTTTTGGAGCTAATTCCAAATTCAATGACAATTTTTTTATGAATTTTGCCACAAACTCATCGCAATCTATGCCCAAACATGCTTCAA